GTTTTGAGACGTCTCCTAACAGTAAACAAAACTTACATATTGGATCCCAATATGTAACATTTGTTTACTGTTGGGAGACGTCTCAATATGTAAGTTTTGTTTACTGTTAGGAGACGTCTCAAAACATCCCAATATGTAACATTTGTTTACTGTTGGGAGACGTCTATTTTGAGACGTCTCCTAACAGTAAACAAAACTTACATATTGAGACGTCTCCCAACAATAAACAAATGTTACATATTGGGATGTTTTGAGACGTTTCCCAACAGTTTCGATTGGCTGCCGCGATCTCTACATCTGAAGTTTTATTTCCCCGAAAGGGATCCGAAGGCCGCCAGGAGGGGTCACCTGTTTTAACCACTCGCAACCATATACAGTTGTCTGTCAGTCAGTAGACACTAAAATGACGTCACATAAGGGACGCTTAACGTTGCAATTTGTACTGTCGTGACGTCAGGAAAACGTGCGCATGCCGTGACATATGAACTTCAAAAGCCAGAAATAAAAATATTTGTTACTCTTTATTGTTTTATATACTCTTGAAACAGAACACTTTCAGGGACTCTGGGGAAGTTCATCTAGTAATAAGTGTTTTTTTTTTTTACGTTGTATATATTTATTGATATTTAATAGCCTGGTATTACTAGACGTGGAACCTTTCCTACCTGTTGAGTTTAAAGTACACCAACAGTGTAGATGAAGTTATTCCAAGAAAAGAGGCCAAGTCTGATCTCTGTGAACTATTAGTAAACAAACCAAGTGATAAGTCAATTTTTCTATCAGTGTACTGCGTGTTTACTTTAGGTGCGCTACCTGCCAGAACAACGGCCCACTCAGTCAGTAAGTACGCATGAAACTATACAAATTAATGACGTCACCCTTCAGGACCGTAACAGACTTCTTTTTAAGAATAGTTATATAATATGCAATTAAACTTGTTTATTGTGTAGGTACCTTAACAAATATGTGTTTGTATGACTACAGCAAAGTTATTGTTTCAGAGCCATCGAAAATAGGTGTACTCTTTGGAATTTACCTGATGATGACAAAACCTGGTCGAAACGTTGTACATTTGCTGTTATGTTAAGCTTATATTAAAATTTTTCTTCATTACCCATTCAAGCCGTCTCCAACCATTATAGAATCATCTAACCTTGTCGAAACGTTGTACATTTGCTGTTGTATTAAAGTTTTTCTTCGTTACCCATTCAAGCCGTCTCCAACCATTATAGAATCATCTAAAGTTTGGGACAGACCTCCCCCCTCCCCTTAACTACATGTGAAACAAACGGTGTACCCTACGCGGAGTTCATAAAGGTCACTAGGTGCCACGGGCAGCTCAGTTAATAGTTTTTCTTATAGCAAAGCCACATCGGGCTATCTGCTATGTCCAACGAGGGCAATCGGATCTCTGAAAATAGCGAGTTCAACATTTTTTTCTAAGCTTTAGAAAAAAAAAAGCAAATTTATTATGTTTTAAGAAATATTATTCCTAGTGGGTGATGTAAAATAATATAAATTAATTAAATAAAGATGGGATGTATTATTATTATATATATAGATGCTACTATACAATATGGACTCTACAGATATTCTTTTAAATTGCTTCTGACACAATAAGCCTGGCATGATCTGGTGGTGATAATCGATCCTGCTATTCATTGGTATGAGAGTAGCCTAAGAGTTGGCGGTGGGTGGTGTTGACTAACTGCCTTCCCTCCTACTATAATTATAACAATTTAGATTTTATAACTTGAGCCGTTAGGGGGCGCTTTTGAAGGGCATGACGCTTCAGGTAAAAAGCTTCACATAATCTACAGTTTATAAACACTTTTTATGCATTGGAGCAGTATTTTTTTTGTAGTTGAGCGCAAAGCTACACAGTGGGTTATCTGTGCTTTGCCAACTACGAGTATCGAAACCCGGTTTCTAGCAGTGTAAGTCCGCGGACATTCCGCTGTCCCACTGGGGAGCCGTGGGGCAGTAAACATAGTCTTCCTTTGATGAATGGGCCCGGCATGACCAGGTGGTTAGGTAGCTCGACTCGCAATCTGCGGGTTCGAATCCCCGTCCCACCAAACATGCTCGCCCTTTCAGCTATGGGGGCGTCATAATTTGACGGGCAATCCCACTATTCGTTGGTAAAAGAGTAGCTCAAGAGTTGGTGGTGGGC